TACACACGTACATGCACACACGTACGCACCCCACACACGTACACGCACACACGGCCACACGGAAGCACACACATGGACACACACGCGCACACGCAGTCTGCATCCTTTGGGATTCCTGATAGCTTCCAATACACACCGTTGATGCTGAGTAAGGGTGAAGCACTGGCATCGTACTATGTACTGGATCGTACTACGTCTTCTCCTACTCCTGCTACTCCTCCGTTTTGAGTCGTGCATGCAATATTTAAACCGAAATTCTTTTCTCTCTTTTTCTCGGCCATAAATTCTTCATCGACTCACAGATGCCTTTGTTGCGTCGCGCGAACGCTGAAACTTTAATGGCGTCAGCCCGGCGCGCCGAGCAACTCCCCGTGGAATCGTGCGTCAGTCGTATAACATAGCCGCAGATATTCTGAATTGTTTTCCCATATAGACTTATGACCGGAGAGCACTAAATATTACAGCAAAGATTTCTGATGTTTTTACCAAACGTTTTCACATTTTCTCAACCATTCTGATACTTACCGGTACTCCGGGCATATAACACCAAATGTAAATAAGAAGAAATGTGCATCTCAATTTAGATTTGAGATTTTCGATAACGCGTGATTTTTCCTCTCGCGAGACCAGAACGCTGTCTCTCCACTAGGTTAGTTGCTTTTGTATACATTTTGAGATAGGTACCAGTCTATAAATATTTGCGTCACGTAACTTTTTTACTTACGTAACTATAGTACGCGCACTTGTTTTTTGGGACCGTTTGAACGTTCCATTGTCGCGAATCTGAAGATGGCGGGCGCACGTTTGCTGCTCATCTGCTGTGTTATAGTTTATAAGATAACAGCACCAATTTGTGGCGATTGTTGTGCCGGAGTAATCAGTAAAAAGTCGGCTAATAGGGGATACTCAGTTTGTCTACACTTATGCAGTTTTCCGATTTATTCATGACATAGTCGGTTTAAATATATATAGTTCACTTGTTGTATGCGACGATTTTATCGGCATTCTTTCCATGCTTATGACCCACAAACCGGATCGTGTTATCGACAAACAATCAGTGAAGCGAGGTCGTCATACAGATAAATAGAGTTTTAAATAGTCGACTGTCAACCATATACCTCAATAGCATCGATCAATGAGCTAGTTAAACCTTACATGAGATATGGCAGTTGGTATACTGCATGTCCAGTCTTCATGTCTGTCTTCGTTTGGCTATCATTGCAAACACTGCATGGTTAGTGTCTGCCAGTGATTCCTCCAAGCGATTTCTATGCGTTGGGTTTTCCTGTAGCCGTGTAGACATTATTCAATAGAAGCGTATTACTACGATGCTCATATAGCGGTATAGCGCTTGGTTCTTGGGGGCAGTCACTGGAGGTTCCATATCCCACAACACGCAATAAATGATGCATAGCACATAATACATGCATGATAACGCGTGATTCATGATAGATGATAGCGAATACCTCATACACAATACGTAATGCATATTATATAATCTATATTACGTGATGCGTAATGCATAATGCATAATACACAAGGTAAAATACATAATGCACAATAAAAAATATTTTATATTAATACATAACACATAACATATAACACATAATACAGACCAAATAATACATAACACATATGATACATATTAATAACGTATTTTGTCTACCCATACGTGGGGAAAAGGTTTCATAATTGCACAATTCGAATTCGTACATTACCGCATAACTTGGTTGTGTAGAGCTGAACCGTGAACGTGCTCGCTGGTGACAAAGGTTTCACAATGAGCTCAAAAATTAAAATAAATATGCGAAAAAAACACGGAGAAGAAAAATAATATATCTATATTATAAGATGGTAGGACCGTTTTGCGACGGGTATGATCTCATCATGGAGCATTGAACCGGGTAGTTTCCCTCACAGACAGTTACAGGGATATGTTGTCAAGGTTTTCGTATGGTTTTGGAATAGAACGTTCAGAAACGTTCAAAAACAAGTGAAATATCAAAAGAACGAATACTTCGAAATGGATGCTGCTGTCGTAGTGCGCAGTGCATGTTGGGATGGCTCGCCGCGCATTCTGAAGGCGAGCCGAGGCTTCCATAGCCAGAGCGGCATATGCGGGGATTTGGGAGACCACACACGTATAATAATACATACATATACCTGCCCAGAGGCCTCATCTATCAAATATAACGGGTACTGATATTTTGATAAAATTTCACCTTAACTCTAAGTGTGAAACGTAAGGCTACGCCTAACCATATTAACAACATATAAATTACAATGTAAGTTACATATGTTTCACTGAATGGGACACTTCTAAAACCACAACAAAGACGAGTCTATAATGTCTTCATCGACTGTGTACTGCAGTCACGGCCAAGTATTGTATTCCTTGATACTCCAGAAGGCACTGAGAATTTTCTTTAGTCAACCTAATAACTGCAAACTTCGTTCCCTAGAATACACAGCCTTCACAACGGCATCCAGTGGTGTTGCAGCAACATTACTAAAAGAAGGCAGAACGCTACTGTCCACTTCCAAACCACCACTACATGCCCACGCACAGGACACCCCATGCAACGTGCGTATTAATAAAGGCAGCAACCTACCAAACGCAGGCACACACACACACACACACACACACACACACACACACACACACGCGCGCGCGCGCGTGCGCGCGCACGCACGCACGAACACACGCACGCGCACACGCACGCGCACACGCACACGCACACGCACACGCACACGCACACGCACCGCACCGCACGCGCACACGCACACGCACACGCACACGCACACGCACACCACACCACACCACACCACACGCACACCACACCACACCCACGCACGCTCGCACGCACGCACGTACGCCACGCCACGCACGCCACAAACACACACACACACACAACACACACACAGGCACCACACACACCACGCATTGCAGCCATACAACACACTGACAGTAAAACATTTCTCATTTGCCTCCTAAGTTTGTTCTCAAGACTGCCGTCTAGATCCGATTACATCATCCAACACCCGTCCGGGGAGTTTGCTAGAATAGCTATAACATATATATATTATGTGGATATGTCGTATGAGATTAGCGTGTTCGAGCTGCCCCAGTGTTATATAGGAGCGTGCCAAAGCGGTCGCCCAAGTTCGGCACCCGCCTGTCAGAACACAAAAGGGAGCGTGGAGGCGTCTGCGCCAACACCGCCTGCGCTACCTGGCGCTCACGCCTCCCTCTATCACCGCAGAGGAAGTAACACAAGGAATCAGCGAAGTACGGACCATGGTGGCTTGACAATAATCACCGGTCCAAATTTGGACGGACGCCAGAGTCTTTCAGCAAAGAAGCAGTTCTTCATAGACGTTCAGATCAAAGAGGCGCAATCAAATTAGACGAAGCTCCCCGTCTAATGATTGAACAGAGACGGAAGGGTCCTACAAACCTCTCTCACGTACGACAACCTCCTGTGAAGCCCAATAGCCAGAACACCGTGGCGGGGCCCCCAAAGATCCCTGTGACCGTCACCGCGGACTACTACGGTCAATCGCGGAGCGGGCCACTATTCGCAGGACCGTACGCGTCCACGTGCATAAAGATCGCGCTGACTCTTCGAGGATCCGAAACTGTACGTGTGAAGTACGTTAAAAAAATAAGATATATTTCAATATGAACCAGTTTACAGATATATATATATATGTGTGTGTGTGTGTGTGTGTGTGCGTGCGTGCGTGCGTGCGTGCGTGCGTGCGTGTGTGTGTGCGTGCGTGTGTGCGTGTGTGCGCGTGCGTGCGTGCGTGTGCGTGTGCGTGTGCGTGCGTGTGTGCGCGTGGGTGCGTGCGCGCGTGGGCGTACATACCGTGTTTACGGTAATTATAGCTCATTGATCACATATGTCGTTAAGGTAAAAATCACTCAGTCACAGCACGAATCGCTTCTTTCCTGATGACAAAGACGCGAATCTTGGCGTGACGCGTACATGGAAAATTGTTGTGTATGTTATGAGTGGTGTCATGAATGCAGCGCAGCTGCGCGATACTTGCGTGATACCTGCGTGATACCTGCGCGATACCTGTGTGATACTTGCGCGATACCTGCGTGATACCAGTCGCAGCACCTAAGTTAACTTGCGCGGTGCCGTCTCGCGCATAATAAGCTGTGACGCTCAGTAGCAGAGAGCGTTGGTGATTAACGACGTTGCGCGTGAATCTTTCGAATGATTATTTCGACCATTCATGCATTCACTGGGGGGTCACCGTCGTACACGCGCGCGTGGAATGTGCCGTTCACAGTTCAATCATTCGGTGAGCCAGTCTGGCAGGCTGGCAGTCAACAAACCACCCAACCATCCAGATAGCCAGCCAGCCAGGCAGCCAACCAGCAAACTAACCAGCTAGCCAGCCAACCACCTAACCGTCCAGTCAGCCAGTCAACCTACCATCAATCACTCAGTCAGCCAGCAGGCCAGCAAGACTTAGTGTATGTAAGCGTGCGTGTGTGCGTGCGTAGATACGTACGTACGCACGTATGTATACGTATACGTACGTACGTACATACGGATCAGGAGTAGATAAAGGGAATATTGATCCCTTTATCTACTCCTGATACGGATATATATATATTATACCGAACTCTCTGATAATAATATCTCTCTTTCTGCCTCTTGCCTTGATTCCACGCCCGCCTGTTGCACCACGAGGTAAACAGGAGCTGCAGCAGGAGAGAGTTGTCTGTGCTTGTATCCGTTTGTGTGATTATATTAATGTGGCTGCTGAGTGAATGCACTTGGAAAAGAGAGGCCCGTTAGTCTGAACTGTTGCCGTAATTAATCCTCTAATTTTTCCACGATCAATGAGGTACATGGCCTGCTGCAGATGCGCATTTCCATTCTCTTCTCCCTATCCACCTCCCTTCCTTGCTTCCTTCCGTTCCTCTTCCTCCCCTTTCACCCCCTCTCTTCCTCTCTCTCTCTCGCTCTCCAGCCTAC